ATCCTGGCCGCCGCGGCGCACGGGCCGCGCCCGCTGCTTGTACACGGCCAGCACGCGCACCGCCAGCCGCTGCCACGCCGGGCCCGCCCCCTCGGACGCCAGCACCTGCGCGCGGAGAACTGCGGGGAGGGGAGATGTCAGGCCTGGGCGGTGGGGGACCTCCGGGGTCCCATGGGGTCAGTCTTGGTGGGGAGGGGCCCGGAACCAGGTGGGGGTGGGCTTCCAGGATCGCGTCAGGAAGGAGACCTTGAACCTTTGAGGGTGAGAGGTCTGGGGTCTGCCCGTGTGTCGTGCGGGGTGGGGCCTCCTGCCGGAGACATGGTCAAGGCAAGGAGGGCAAGGCTTGTGGAGCATGACGTGCGGTTCCAGCATTATGATTGGGAAGGGTGGGGCTACTCCGGAGGAGGCGAGGCCAGACAGGGAGAGGAACCCAGTAGCCTGAGATATGCCAGGTGGGGGGCTTTGGGGGTCAATTTGGAACAGCGGAAAGGTGGGAGGGGCCTAGGGGGACCTTACGGTGGGTGGGACTGGGAATACGGCAGAAGACGCAGGTCCAGGGTCCCTAATGCAGTGGGGTCAGAAGGTGTGAGGATCAGAGCCCTTGGAAAAGGGGGGTATTGCTCGGGGAGGGGCTCTGGGATGAATCTGGGGGCTAGAAGGAGATCTGTCCCTGGCACCTGAGGGTTGAAGTCATACTAGTGGTGATTCAGAGAAGTGTACTTTCCGAGGGAGGTGAGGTGAGATGTGTTGGGGGCAGGACTCTGGCTAGCAAGCTGGGTCTGTGGGGCGGAAGATCTCTGTGGGTGGTGGGGAGAAGAAGGCTCCACCTTGGAAGTCTGAGGACACTAGTGACCAGATGGTGATCCTCAGGGAGGAGAGCTCTGGGGTCCTTTACCTTTGAGGGAAGTAACAAGTTGGTCTGGACTCCTGGGCTGGGCTGAACTGAATTCCTGAGTGTCTAAGGGAGTTGAGTTACCTAGGCCCTGGGGTCATGGGGCTGGTGTGGACTGACGGATTAGGGAACTGTGGGGTGAGTCTCTGTGGGAGTGGGGCTAAGGCTCAGATATCTGGGACTCCAAACGGAGGCATAGAGGGTCTAAGGTACCAAAGTAGGGCAAGAGCCCATTCCATTCAACCAGCTCCCCTTTCTCCTTCCATCCCCAGGAGGCCACTTCCCTCCCTCAGAGATGTCGGGCTGAAGGAGATGGTGGAACTCTGCCAGGCCAAGAACATGAGGGAAGAGGAGACATAGAAAGGTAGCGAACACCCCCTCTCCGTGGCCCCTTCCCACCACCCTTGTCTTCTGTCCCTTTAGGTCCTAGATCAGGAAGGGCCCTTGAGAGCCCAGGACACCTTCCCATTTCAGATGTGAACACTGAAGGCCGGAGAAGGGGGTGGCTCGGAGGCAATCATTGGAACACCTGTGAGGCGGCTGGCCCCCTTTCTCCCCAGCACTCACCGTAGTCCTGCTGGCAGTACCTCCGAAGGCTCATGTGTACCCTGGTGTCCGAGATATTGCAGTAGTTTTGACACTGAGGGTCTGGGGAGGGTCAGGCTGTCTGCAGTGGGCTCCCGAGGCCTGGACCACAGCAGTCTGCCCCTGCCCATCCCCGCATTCCATCTTGATGGACAGCTGGGGTGCCCAAACCCTTGAGACAGGGCTCAATGGGCTACCGCTGTACCCCCACCTGGGGGTCCGATCAGCCCATCCCCGGTCCCTCTTGCTGCCAGGGATCTCCACACCAGCCTGTCTTACCGGAGCTGTGAGCACCAGGGGTCGTAGAAAGGGTGGTTGTTGCCTCTGGAATTCCTGTGAGAGACCAAAGGAGAAATTTAACCTTAGTCTGCCCAGCCCCTGAGGAATACAGGCATCCAGACCCCAAGTATCTATTCTCTTAAGGCCCAAGAGGGCAAGCATCCTCCTCCCCCAGGAGCTGGGTCCTGGTCCCTAGCCCCTTTTTCCCTCAGACCCAGGAGTCCAGGCTCCCAGCCTCTTCCTCCCCAAGACCGAGGAGACTGGAATTTGAGTCCCCACCTCCCCAAGGACCCAGAGTCCAGCCTCCAGCCTCTAGCTCCCATCTCCCAGGGACCCAGCCCTCAACACACTTGCCCACTGGAGATCTGGGATGTCTCCCCGCCGCCCCACTTAGGACTTATGGCCCTGCCCCTCAGGACTCACGCTGACAGGGCATCCTGGGGGAGTGGCTCTGCTGGTAGCCAGGACCGCAGCGGTTGCATGTCAAGCCGGTGACCCCTAACTTGCAGGAGCACTGCCCGCTGGTGTGGTTGCAGGTGCCACCAGTCGCCCCAATAGGGTGGCACTGGCAGGCTACATGAGAGGAGTTGGGGATGTGGGGTGTCTGAGCCCTAGATGCTCCCTCCCAAGTCCCCAGACCCATCCTGTCTCAGACCCGGGAGTCCAGGCCCCCAGCCCCTCCTCCCTCAGACCCAGGAGTCCAGGCCCCCAGCCCCTCTTCTCCCAGACCCAGGAGTCCAAGGCTCCAGCCCCTCTTCCCCCAGACCCAGGGGTCGGGCCCCCAGCCCCTCCTCCCCCAGACCCAGGGGTCCGGCCCCCAGCCCCTCCTCCCCCAGACCCAGGGGTCCAGTCCTGCCTCCTTTCCTCCTGGGCTGAGTTCTAGGCTCTACTCACCCCTGCAGGCCTTGCGGCTGGTGATGGGCTGGCTGGGGTCCCTCCAGAACCCTGGCTGGCAGTAGTGGCAGTGCCGCCCAGCTGTGTGGTGGCGGCACCGCTCACAGACACCCCCACTCCGGCCACCCGATAGCCTGAACAGCTCGGAGTTGAACCTGCAGCGTCGGGCGTGCTGGTTGCAGGAGCAGGCTAGGAGCAAGATGGAGCAGGGGCGCGTCAGGCCTGGGCTGTCTGTGCCCCGTCCCCAGCTTTCTCCCCACTGCCCTCAGGAGAGGAAATAAAGTGTGGGTACAATGTAAGAGACTGCCTGCAGGTCCCTGGGTCAGCCTGGGTCCCCGAACCTCTTCATTCTCATCTTTAAAATGGGTGCACTGGACTGGAGCTGGGTAAGCCTGAGGGGACTGGTGAACCTCCTGTTGTCCGTGTGAAATCGGGGGGCTTAAAGAAGAGTGGCAGCTCCGGGCGTGGGCCGTGGAGTCAGAGCCCCGCGTGCACGTGTCCACCGTGTTCCTTGGACACGTGACTTCTCCTTCCTGTAGCTCAGCTTCCTTTGCTGTCAGATAACATTTTTAGTGTCTACTGCATGAAGTTTAAATGAAGCCAAATAGGTATAAAGTGCTTAACCCGGGGTCTGACACAGAGTGTGCACCTGCTGTTTAGAGCTCCCACGTGCCAGGTGCCCTGTGCTGAGTGGCGTGTTTCATCCTCATAGCAGCTCCCTGAGGCCAGTACTATCATCACCCCCATCTTACAGATGTGAACACCGAGGCACAGAGAGGTGAAGTCACCTGCCCAAGGTATTACAGCTAAGGGGTGGTCAGAGGCAGGATTGGACCCCAGGCCTTTTGGCTCCAGAGTCTGGGCTCTTAGCAGCCACACTTCAGGGCTTCTCACACAGCTCACATGAGGATTACTGAGTGTGTACGTTTTCCCGGGGAGCACTGATCAGGTTTTCTAAGGCAGTGGCTTTCAAACCTTACTACTTATCACATTTAGCGGGGAAAAGTTTAAAAAGAACAGATTCCAGCGCCCACCCCAGGCCCTCTGCTGTGTTTCTAGCAAGCATCCCAGGGTGAGATGCTGATGCAGGTGTTCATGGACCACTCTTTGGAGAGATTTAAGGAGTTTCTGGCTCCAAGAAGTTGAGAGGCCTGGACCGGCAGGTCCCCAGGGCCCAGAGGGTAGTGGGAACATCAGGGAGCTGAGACAGTTGTGTGTTCTTGGGAAAGTGCCTCCCGCTCTCTGAGCCTTGGTTTCCTCTGTCCAGTGGGGATCTCAGTCCCTCTTTCCAGGGTTTTGTGGGCATTAGAGGTGACAGTGCCATTCAGATTATCAGTGGGTAGAGTCCGTGACCTGAGTGATCACTCCACCTCACTCCCCTCTGGAAAACTCGGATGCGGGAGGGATCCAGACCACCATGTAGGTGAAGCCTGCAGATTCATCACAGGAGTTAGTCTCTCCCTGTCTGCCCAGACCCTTCTCCATCACAGCATTGTCTGTCTCTCACCCAGGTTCAGAGGGCAGTGCCAAGCTCAGCCTGGGGGATGTGGTGATCCTCAGAGGGACGGCCTCCCCAGCTCCCAGCCTCTGTCCAGGCCCAGGATGAACCCCGCACCACTCTCAGGCCACGTGAGTCTCCCTCACTCCCCTCTGAGGCCATCAGATTTGGCTGGCGGGAATGGACCAAGGAACAGATGCCCTGAGGTGGTGGGGGCAGGGGGCCAGGGAGGATGGTGGCCTCTTGGGAAGACCCCAGTGGGGATGAGGAGAGTGGGGAGCCGAGGACAGTGCGATGATCTGTAAATTAGTCCATATGACACTGCAGGAGGAAATAGACAGGGAGGGGCAGACGGAGGACATGGGAGGTGGAGAGAGGGAGGCCCAGGGAACTCGAGTATGTGTGTGTGTGTCTGTCGGTGGAGTGGAGTTACCTCCCTGGGCCTGGTAACACACTCAGCCTCTAGCAAGGGCTGCAGGCTGGAGGTGAGAGAATTGGGCTGTCTCTGAGGAGGGGCTGCCAGAGAGATGGGGAAGGGCCCAGACTCTGAAAGGCCCGTGGAGGGGGAGAGGGCATTGAGCGGGGCTGGGGGAGGGCTGGTCCAGCTGGATAGCCCAGTGGATGGCCCAGCATCTAGGAAGGGGCCTAGTCCCAGTGCTGTCCCTTGCTGGCAGTGAGACTTCGGGCAAGTGACACATCCGCTCAGGCCTCATCTTCCTCATCTGGGGAATGGTAACTTTGGCAGGTGTTCAGGAAGCTCTTCCTTTGTGCCAGGTACCATACTAGGCTTTATTTTAAGGACTTTATGTATATTAAGTCTGAATTTTCACTACAGCCTGTAAAGGAAATGCTGTACTATCCCCACTTTACAGATGAGGAGATAGAGGCACAGAGAGGTTAAGTCACTTGCCTCAGGTCACACAGCCATTAACCAGAGGAGCTGGGATTTGCGCCCAGGCAGTTTGTCATAGCTGGCTGTCATGGCCGTGCTCCTGTCTGTCGCCCTAGAGCACCTAGTATGACAGCACCTGACAAGAACTTGCCAGGGACAAGCCGAGACTCTAAAACTTGGCTTCCTGAGCTCACATTCTGGCTCTGCCACTTACTCACTGTGTGTCGTTGTACAAGGGACTTCCCATCTCTAGCCTCACTCTCTTCATCTGTGAAATGGGCCTCATGACAATACCTGCCTGGCACATAGTAGGGGATGGATAATTATGTATTAAATGAATAAATATGTCCCCCATCTGGTTGATTTGATGAGTCAGGAAAGGTCCAGCTGGCCTGTTCCCCTAAAACCATCATTAAATATTACCCAAGCGCCTGCAATGAGCCAGGCTGGGTGCTCAGGACATGTTATTCATGTCATCAGAGTGTCGCCATCGAGTGTCGGGGAGAGACTGGAGCCCCCTAATGGGCAGTTGGGCAGCTGGAAGTCTTGGGGGGCAGAGAAGCGGGGCAGGCAGGTGGAGGGGGGAGGTGAAGAGGGGACCGGGCTGGAGACAGTGTGGGGAGAAGCAAGGAGCAAGGCGCTCTGGGGAGGAGGGAGGAGAGCTTCCTGCCTCTGAAGGACGAGGGCCCGGCTGCTGGAGAGTCATGGGGCCGAGGGGTTGGTGGGGGAGGTCGGGAGTGGGGGCCCAGGACTCACGCAGGCAAGGGTGGGGGTGCCAGGGTGTGGCGGGCCGCCAGGGCCAGTCGCGGTGGGATGGGCGGCAGCTCTCGCACCCCGGGCCGGTGGTGTGGTGGCGGCAGCGGCAGCGGGGGGGCCGGGCGCGGGCGGCACAGCGGGCTGCGTGGCCGTGGCACTGGCAACGGCCTCTCACTCCAGCTGCCGCCAGCCCTGCCCGGCCCCCGAACTCCATGCGGAGGTGGCTGGCCACCACGCTGGCCTTAGGACCCGGTGGGGCGCGGAAGGTCACCTTCTCAGGGCCACCCAAGGCCCCAGGCCAGGCAGGTCTGCGCCACAGCGATCTCCAGGGACCTCCAGTGGCCCAGGCAGCAGACAGGACCAGAGCTGGGGGTCCTGGGGTGCAGAAGCGCAGGCTGACGGACGTCAGGAGGAAGGAGCCACCCAGGGCCAGGGTCAGGCTGCCATTACAGGTGGCCTGAGGACCGAGGTCCGCCCCTGGGGAGAGGGCACAGGCCTGGGGACAGGAGGCCGCCATGCCAGCCAGCTGAGTCACTGGTGGGAGGCAGAAGCGGGGGCGGCCCCCCGGATGGTAGCATGGGTCCGCAGTGGCCTGGCTCAGGAGGAGCAAGAGGGCAAAGGTCACAGGCATGGTCCCAGCAGAGACAGTACCTGGAGAGGAGAGGAGGGCCGGGCTGAGGGCCTCCGGCTGCCCTCATGGGTCAGCCTCCACCCGCTCCCCCAGGCTCCCTGAGGAACCCCAGCATTCCACCCCCAGCCCTGCCCAAGCCCCCTCCCCGGCTGCTTCTAAGCGAGGAAAATAGTTCCATCTGGGGAGAATTACTGTTTACATAACCCAAAGGGGAAAGAACGCAAGCAAAATTGAGAATTTTGCCTGAACTAATCCGCAGCTTAACACCCCAGAGCTATCCGTCAGTGTCGATGGGCAGGGGCCTTGGGGGGCAGATGGGGAAACCGAGAGAGAGGGCATGGGAGGGGGGGCAGGGCTGGGCAGAGGAGGGGGACTTAGAGACAGATACTCGGAGACAAAGACACAGAGAAAGGAATAGAGGCACAGACAGCAGAGACAGGGAAAGGAGGAGGTGCAGGCCTAGGTGCAGAAAGAGAATGAGCCCCGAGGAGAGAGAACAGGAGGCCCAGAAGGATAGTGGTCAGGCACCCAGAGTCCGCAGGGATTCGGGGGACTGGGTGCCAGGGAGCCTGGGGGCCAGGACAGACAGACAGACAGTCAGGCTCAGAGACACCTGGGAGCAGGAGAGCAGACAGCCCAGCAGGCCCGGGCCTGGCCAGCAGGGAGGGGAGGGAGGGAGGGAAGGAGAGGACCGGAGGGGAGCAGAGGGCAAGGCCCGGTGCCCGGCGGGGGATCAGAAGCAGGAGGCCAGGCCCCGGCCCACCGGGATCAGAGTGAGGCCCTTTCCCACGTGGGGCCCTAACCTTGTTCTCCACACCCGGGGCACGGAGGGGGATTATCGCCAAACAGCCAGCCGCCCTGCCACCCACCCCCAGCCTCCCCCACCCTTAACCCTTTCCCACCCAGGTGCAAAGCCTGGAGAACTGTGCTGAGGAACAGGACGGACGCCTCAGGGCTGGAAGCCTGAGTGGCTCTGGGACAGGGAAGTGGGGGCAGAAGCCCCCTGGGGTCGGGAAGGCAGGGGCCTGGGTCCGCCTTAGGACTCCGGGTGGGAGGACCCTGTGCTTGGATCTCTGAGGACTCTGGTAATCTCAGCCCCCGGCCTGTCATCCTAGGCCTCAGGGTCTGGGGATCAGAGTCCCCCCATTCGTCACCCGTCCTAAGGTCCCCAGAGCAGATGGGGGAACAGGTGTTGGGGGTGGTGGGTGCCGAAGGAGCAGAGAGGCAGGGCAGGGCAGGGCCAGATGCCGGGGCCTCTGGAAGGGTCAGAAGTCCAGACCCCTGGGATGGCAGGAGCTAGGAAGGACTTGGTGCTGAGTTGCCCCCCACTTTCCCCTTCCAGGGCCGGCAGCCCCTAATGAGGAACTCGCTCAGGTCGGGGGGCCCTGGGGCCTTTCTGGGCCCCACTACCCAGGCCCCCGGCTCTGAATCTGGACCTGGCCTGGCAGCCGGGCTGGGAGTCTGTGAGGCACTGGGGGTGCGGGTGGGGTGACTTCCTCCCCCAGCCTGATTCCACAGCCCCCTATGTCCTCTGCTGGTTGCCCTGTGCAGACCGCCTGCCCCAGCCCCAGATGACGGGCATCGCCCTCCGCCCCTCCCAAGGAGCCTGGCGCCATTTTGTGTTCTTGTGGGCAGGCATTTGCCCCGGCCCTCGGCACCAGCCTTGTTAAGGACCCCATCCCCATCTCCCACCTCTCCTCTTGCCTGGGTGGCTCAGGAGCCACCACTGTCTGGTCTTTAGCACCTTGGGCAACCAGGCCGTGAGTCCTCCAGCGTTCCTGGGGGGTCCAGAAGCCAGCCTCTGCCCACTGAGGAACCCAGATGTCCGGCCCCCGGCTCCTATCCCTTCTGGCAACTGCAGCCCACCCCGAGCCCCCTTTAAGGAGCAGAGTCTGGCTGTGCTCCCACCAGACCCATAGTCAGGCCCCCGTGCCTGGGTGGTGTGGGGGTCCATCTGGAACCCAGGCTCCTTTTCCCGGGCTTTTTTGCGCACACCCCGCCCTTTGCCCCTGACTTTGGCCAAACCTGCGCCCAAGAAGAGAGCTTCCTCTGCAGTTAGTTGCTCGCGTGCTCGTCCCTCCCGCAGGAGCTTGGTGCCGGCGTGGGCTCCCAGGAGCGAGTGCCGAGTGGCTGTGCTCAGGCCCCAGGCTAGTGGAGGTTCTGGGCGGGAGCTCAGAGCGGAGCCCGCAGAATCCAACACCACCACCGCTCCCCCCGCCCCCCCCAATCCCCTTGCCAACCGCAGCCATGCTCTCCCCACAGGGACCCCCGCCAGCCACGCCACCCAGGACTCTGTGGGACCTGAGTGTTGTCGCCCCTGGGGGGCCCGCAGCCGGACGGCCCCGCGCAGGCTGGCCCGGGAGGCTCAAGGCAGGTAGGAGGACGGGACAGCAGCTGGATGGGCTTCCCGGGTCTGGGGTCCCGCTCCACTCACACTCAGCCCCTGCCCCACCGACTCCCAATGGGCGGGCGGCGGGCGGCTCAGCCCTGCCGTGTGGTGGCCGCAGTCGGGGAAGGGGCTGACCTGCTGGGCGGACAGCCAGCGGTCAGGGCCGCCCACACTGAGCTGGGACGTTAGCCTCTGGCTGCGTGACCCCAAGCCGGCCCCTCCCCTCTGGAACCTTCTGTCAGCTGTGGGTTAGCTGAGCCTTAAGGTCAGTCACTTTTAAGCCCTAAAGATCGGTGTTTCTGGAAGGATCGGACCAGCCCCCAGGAAACCCGAATACTTAGGCCGCTTTCTAAGATGGTGGGAAGGAGGTGGAGGAGACGAGAACGCCTCGGACCTCAGTGGTTCCAGCGGCTGGAGGGAGAAAGCAGGGACCCCGAGGGGGACAGCGCTCCACCCAGCCTTCCCCATGGCCAGTTTCCTGCAAGGCCTCACTGCCTCAGTCTTGAAATTTTCATGCAAATATTGCTGTCAACTCGATTGCATACCAAATGGTTTTGACTAGGAAAATAATGTTTTCTGTCACTTCCCGCTGAGAAAAGCTAGGGCCTAGGGAGGATGGGGCACCATATTTGCTGCTGTGGCCTTGAGTTTCCCCCCCACACCCCCCCGTGATTGTGGCACAGCGTGGGCCGATCCTGACGGGGACTTGGGGACCCACTGCCCAGAGCCTGCCTGGGGCGGAAGGGCTCAGCCAGGGCAGTCGTGATTCTGGTCCCCATGGCCCTGAAGTGGGGGCGGGGGGGGGCCAGCCCCGAGGGAGCCAGGACGAGGATATTGGCCTTGAAAGTCAGCTGTGAGGAGGAGTTAGCTGCAAGAGAAAGGGATTGGGGCGGAGACACCCCCAAATCAGAGCAAGGCATATCCGACCTGGGGCTGGGCGGTGAGTGACAGGGTGACATGGTGCAGTATTCACTGCATGAACTCACTCGGCAAGTACCAGGTGAGCTCCAACTGTGTCAGACGCTCGGCACGCACGGCAACCCCGTCCTGGTCAGGCTCACGCTGGAGAGCGAGAAGAGATCACCACCAAAAGGGAAAAAGTCATTCTGGTCTAGAGAGTGGTGGATGGTGACAAGCGCTTTGGAGCCAAAGCAAGAAGGGACGTGGATATGGGGGCGGGGTCTGGAGGGGACGTTCGGGCTGAGACCTGAAGGAGGGGAGGGCAGGCCGCGCGGGCACTGGGGCAGGAGTGACCCAGGCAGAGGGAATGGCCAGTGCAAAGGCTAGTTTTGCTGCCACAGAAAGTTCAGAAAGAAGGTTAGATCTACTTTATTTTCCTCCCCACCCGGGGACAGAAGTTTCTTTTACCTGGAGGGAAGTTTGCTTCCTCACTTTTGTTCTTAACAGCCTGAGCTGCCCGAGGCGATTAGCACCCCTGGGGGTGCCTTGCGGGGAGGGAGGAGGGGGAGGGGCAGCCAGAGCAGAGAGGAAACAATTCTCCAAGTTGGGAAGGAGAGTTTTTTGGGGGGGTTTCCTCAAGTACTGGGCACCTTCACCCTCACAGTGCCCCAGAGAGGAGGTGGTACCTCCCAGGGGCACAGCTCTGAGGTGGGCTCAGCAGAGTGGGACGCACGGCTCTGGGCTTCCAGAGATCTTTTATCCCTCCCTCGGTGACCCAGAAATAACCGCGGCCCCACAAGATGGGGCAGGTCACACCCCACGTAACTGGACAGAGAGTGTTTTTCTGAGCACTCTCCCTCAGGAAAAATCAGGCGAGTTAACTGAGATTCCTGAACCACACTGCCTGGGTTCAAATCCGGCCTCCACGTCTTTCCCAGCTGTGTGACCTAAAGCAAGTTGCTTAACCTCTCTGTGCCTTAGTTTCGTCCTCTATTAAATGGGCATAAAAATGCACCTTCCTCTTGGGGGATCATGAGGACTAAATGAGCGAAGACAGGCCTACAGTCTTGTATCTGAAACCCTTTGGACCAGACGTGGTTCAGAACCCACACTTTGGCACCGTCGTGGGGTGTGTAGACCGGATATTATGTAACTCCTCCAGTGGGGATCTGGGCAGCATCCAGTAATCAAACGTTATTGTTTCTGCGGCAAAACACACAGGCATCCCACGCTAAGATAAATAAAGTGTACAAGTAGCCGCACATCTGGTGCAGGCCAGATTTTGTCCCCAAATGAGTTCAGTTCCGGTTGGAGTTTGCCACCAATCTTTAGGAAACTGGCTGATAAGGGAGTGTGGGCCACGATAGTAGGCGCTGGGACCAGTGCCTGGCCCACGGCAGGAACGGCAGAACAATCAGCCTGGCTGCGTTATTTTCCGTGGCTTTTCAGTTGTGTCGGCTGCCGAAAAGCCAGGAGAGGGAGCTCTTGAGACCCTAGGACGGAGGGTGGTTGCAGGCATGATTTGCACAGCCCAGCGCAAAGGGAGAACATGGGGCACCTTGTGTCTATTTCTTGAGGATTTCTAGACAACGAGAGCAGAGCATTAAACCCAGCGCAGGGCCCTTCTGATGGAGGTGGCCCTGGGTGGTGGGTACCTTTGTCCTGAGCCTGTCTCTCCTTCTCAGTAGTCCAGGCTCCAGGCCCTGCTCAGGTCGCCTGCCTGGGCTTTGGGACCTGCCCGGGACTCTGGCTGGGCCGGCGAACTGGCTAGAGGCTGAAGCCTGAGTCCTCCTCTGTGAAGGACCCCAGGCGGGACCTGAGCTGGGCAGGTGGCATGATAAGGGTTGTGACAGAGTTGTCACCAGACCAACGAGAAGAGGGGCTCAGGGGCAGATTTAATTCACACTTTGGAAGCTAAGCAGTGAGCAAGGCATTTCTTGTACTCCTCAGTGGAGGAAGTCGAATCTCATACTCAGTCCTCATGGGGTAAGAGCCAGCTGAGCTCGCTGGGGACCCACATTGAATGTGAGACATCATGGAGGGCCCAAGAGTGTTCAGATTTCCCAAAGAGGTCAGATCAATAAAGTCAGGGGCGCTGGAATACAGGAGGAGAAGAGCTGAGGCAAGGCCCACAGAACCCCGACATTTAAGGGGGCCAGTGGAGGAAGAGATGGGGAGCCTGGAGGGGGTGAGACGGAAGCCAGATGAGGAAGAGTGGGGGGCACGAAATTCAGTGCCTCTGCAGGGGTCTGGGGGACTCCTGGGCTGTAGCCACTGGAATGGCCACAGGGAAACCACAGGTGGTTGGTCAGGGGGACAAGGAGGGGGGGGAGAAAGCAGGTGAGGACCCGCTGGAGACGTGGGGAGAGACCGCTTCCAGGAGCCCAGGTGAGAGCTGGAGGAGAGGCTGACTCAAAAAGAAGCCACCCCTGAAGAAGGGCTTATCCTTCCCATTACAGGACGGGGAAACTGAGGCTCCTGGAGCCCAGTCAGAGCCTGTGGAGTCAGGGCGGGAGCTGGGGTGATGTGGATGTGGTTTAGAGTGTGGGCTCCCCAGTGAGAGTGCTGCACAGCCACCGTGACCAAACAGACAGGCAGTAGCGAGTGCTGGTGAGGATGCGGGGACACCCGAACCCTCAGATGCTGCCGGAGGGAATGTAGAGTGAGGCAGCTGCTGTGGAGAACAGTCTGTGGCTCCCGAAACCGTGAAACAGTGATCATATGACCCAGCCGTTCCACTCCTGGTACCCGAGGGAGATGGAGACTTAGGGCCACACGGAGATTTGTACACGTGTGTTCGTAGCAGCATCATTCATACTAGCCAAAATGTGGACACAACCCAACTGTCTATCAGCTGATGAACGGATCAATGAAACAAGGTATATCCGTGTCACGGAATATTAGTCGGCTATGAAAAGAAATCAGTGAAATACTGATCTGTGCTACAACGTGGAGGGGCCTTGGAAATACCATACTAAATGAAAGAAGCCAGACACAAAAAGCCACGTGTTGTATGAGTCCATTTATATGAAACATACAGAGTAGGAAAGTCCGTGGAGACAGAAAGTAGATTCCTTGGAGGCAGGCGGAGGGAGGAAGGGAAGATGGGCAGGGGGATGGCTGAGGGGGCAGGGTTTCTTTTTGGGGTGATAAAAATTTTCTAGGGCCGGCCCCGTGGCTTAGCGGTTGGGTGCACGCGCTCCGTTGCTGGCGGCCCGGGTTCGGATCCCGGGCGCGCACCAATGCACCGCTTCTCCGGCCATGCTGAGGCCGCGTCCCACATGCAGCAACTAGAAGGATGTGCAGCTATGGCCTACAACTATCTACTGGGGCTTTGGGGGAAAAAAAATAAATATAAATAAATAAAATTAAAAAAAAATTTTCTAAAATTAATTGTGATGGTTGCCCAACTCTGTGAATATACTAAAAGCCATTGAATTATACGCTTTTTTTTTTTTTTTGGTGAGGAAGATTGGCCCTGAGCTAGCATCCGTTGCCAATCTTCCCCTTTTTGCTTGAGGAAGATGGTCCCTGAGCTAACATCTGTGCCCATCTTCCTCTATTTTGCATGTGGGGTGCCGCCACAGCATGGCTTTGATGAGCTGTGTGTAGGTCCACGCCTGGGATCAGAACCCGTGAACCCTGGGCTGCCGGAGTGAAGCACGCGCCAGGCGGGCCCCTGAATTGTGCAGTTTAAGTGGGTGAATTGTATGGTATTTGAATATTATCTCAATAAAGTAGTTAACAAAAAAAGAGGTCATCACAGACAAATATAAAAGCTAAAACTATACAGCTTGATACGGCAGCCGACAGAGAATGTTACAGAGGCGGGAAGTGGGACTGCCGGTCCTTTAAGTCCTGGTCTGGAGACCGTATGACATCACTTCTGCCTCATTTGATTGGCCAAGGCAGTCACGGGCCCGCCCAGATTCAAGGGAGGGCCTGTCCAGGAATCGTGGCCAGCTGGAGCCCACCACACCCACTAACAGTAACAGCGCTTAGCATGGCAGGTCAGGCGGGGTTCACGCAGGCGCTCTGGTTAACCCCATTTTACGGAGGGGGAGACTGAGGCCCAGGGAGATCAGTGTGGGGCACTGCGCTGCCCAGCCAGCAGGAGGCAGAGCCTGCACTGGCCTCAGTCGGTACTCTAAACCTCTGCCCTGCCACACCATAATAGACTGTGAGCTCCTCAGGAGTGAGGACTCATGTAGCAAATACTCTGGAAGTGTTTATTTTACAACACAGAGCACTGCCTGTGTGCTAGGCACTGTCCTTCAAACGTCACCTCGTTTTATTCTCAGGCACCAATGAGGTAGTTCTGTTAGATGGGACCATATGAGACGGCTGTCTGTGTAGGTAAAATACAGTCAAATACTGGCACTTTCCAGTGGGTCGACATGTTCATCCCTGTTTAACAGGCGACGAGACGGCTTCAGAGAGGTGCAGTAACTTGACTGAAGTCACACAGCGCTGCTAAGGGGTGGAGCTGGGATTCAGACCCAGGCCGAAAGGGTCTGTGCTCTTGGACCTCTACCGTGGAGGCCACTAGACTCGGTTTGATGGGTTGAGTGAGTGAATGAATGAATGATTTGGAGGGGGGGTGAGGGAATGAGACTCAGGTGGCCCCAGCCATCCCTCCTGACTTTATCCTCTCTCCTCCCCACAGCCACCATGAGATTCTGGACCACTTGCCCTTCCTTCTCCACCGTCTACTTCCTCTTCGTCCTCTTCATGGCGTCCACCATCTTCCACTGCCACCAGCGCCTGGCTCTGGTGCCCACCCCCTGGGCCTCCTCGGGCCGCGTGGTCCTGGGCCCCAGAGACCTGCCACAGGGGGGCATGTTCACTATCAACTCCAAGGGCCGCCTGGGGAACCAGATGGGCGAGTACGCCACCCTGTACGCCCTGGCCAAGGTGAACGGGCGGCCGGCCTTCATCCCGGCCCAGATGCACAGCATGCTCGCCCCCATCTTCAGGATCACCCTCCCCGTCCTGCACGGCTCCACGGCCAGCAAGATCCCGTGGCGGAACTACCACCTGAACGACTGGATGGAGGAGGAGTACCGCCACATTCCCGGGGAGTACGTGCGCCTCACCGGCTACCCCTGCTCCTGGACCTTCTACCACCACCTCCGAGACGAGATCCTCCGGGAGTTCACCCTGCACGACCACGTGCGCCAGGAGGCCCAGAAGTTCCTCCAGGCCCTGCAGGCCAAGTGGGCCTGGCAGGCAACCTTCGTGGGGGTCCACGTGCGCCGGGGGGACTACGTCCACGTCATGCCGCGGGTGTGGAAGGGCGTGCTGGCCGACAGGGGCTACCTGCGCCAGGCCCTGGACTGGTTCCGGGCCCGCTACCGCAGCCCGGTCTTCGTGGTCACCAGCGACGACATGGCCTGGTGCCGGCAGAACATTAACAGCTCCCTCAGGGACGTGGTGTTCGCAGGCAGCGGCCGTCAGGGCTCGCCCGCCAAGGACTTCGCGCTGCTCACGCAGTGCAACCACACCATCATCACCGTGGGCACCTTCGGGATCTGGGCCGCCTACCTTGCGGGTGGGGACACCGTCTACCTGGCCAACTTCACCCTGCCCGACTCCCCCTTCCACGTGATCTTTAAGCCACAAGCGGCCTTCCTGCCAGAGTGGGTGGGCATTGCCGCCAACCTAGGGCAGGCCAGAGACAACAGCCCTTAGCCCTGCACGTGTCCCTCCCTCGCCCTTGGCTCCACAGGTCGTGTGAGGGGTGCGTGCAGCGCATGGGCTCGGGATCAGACACCCAAGTTTGAATCCAGGCTGCTCTGCTTCCTAGCTGGGTGACTTCAGACAAGTGACTTAACGTCTCTGTGCCTTAGTGTGTCACCTGAAAAATGAATGTAATACAGAACTTCCCTTGGCAGCTCCTCGTGAGAACTCACAAGTTCATTTAGTGCGTTGGAAACACCTGGTAAGTCTTGGCCCTGAACATTGGGACTGCTCTAAGACCAAAGTGTATTTTCGCCCTCTCCTTTGCAGCTCCAGGAGCATGGAGTCCAAATATTTGCGCTTGCCTCCTGGGAGGGTTTGGCCATGAAGCCATCCCTGCCCTTCAGTAAAAGGGAGCTAGGCGTTTTGGGCAGCTAAGAATTGAGGCTTTGGGTTTAATGGGGCCTTATTATGAGAGAATGTTGAGGGTCAACAGGAGTTGAGAAGATGAACCTCAGGGAGATACCCTTGGTGGAGAGGGGCAGGCCCCCAAAATGGGGGTGGGGAGTGGGAGGGCCTCACACTGAGGGCAGGACTCAGGCGGGACTCAACACCAGGCCTCGGCCTGCAGAAGCAAAGACACCCAGAGTCCACAAGTCATAGAAGCAGCAGGCTGACCCCAAGGGGCTGCAGAGACCAGCACACAGCCACGTCAGCAGTCACCTGTGTGGCCAGATGACCTCACACCTTGGCAGTGCCTGTGCCCTCAGGACCTCATGCCACTCTCAGAAACCCCAATATGGACAAAGGTTGGATTAAGTGATTACAGTACTGGTTTTCTTGTGTTTGGTGTATTTTATTTTATTTTTTATTTTATTTTATTATTTTATTTTTTATTTTATTTATTATTTATTTTATTTTATTATTTTATTTTATTTTTTATTTTATTTTTATTTTTTGCTGAGGAAGATTGGCCCTGGGCTATCATCTGTGCCCATCTTCCTCTATTTTCTGTGGGAGCCTGCCACAGCGTGGCTTGATAAGCGGTGCATAGGTCCGTGCCCGGGATCCAAACCTGCAAACCCCGAGCCACTGAAGCAGAGCACGTAAACTTAAGCACTATGCCACCAGGCCAGCCCCTCAGTGTATTTTAAAGTATGGAGATACCACTGTTTTTATTGGAGTAATACTCCTTTTTGGATATTAAAAAAAACTTAACGTACAATCATTTATGTTCATTTAAAATTCCCACCGAATGTAAGTGCACTGGTTTAGAAAACATTTCCATCACATCTCTTTCCTGTTTTAAACCTTTTCCATGTGTCTTATTTATTTGAATCCCCCGTTTCTTGGTATACTTCTGAGGTTGAGCACCTTTCCTTTGGTGTATTAATAATTATATAATTATATTAATGAATAATAATACTGTATCTCCCCAGGGCCATTTTGGGCCCCCATTTACTGCCTAAAGTCATTGATGGAGCCATCATGGTGCAGGGTTGAGGGGAGGGGGTGTTAAAGAAAGCAGGAGAAGGGTCTGGGGGGAAGGGGAGGGAAGTTGGGGAGGAAGGTTCTGTATTCGCTATCTGTGCTGCATAATAAATTACCCTAGAACTTATAATCTTAAAACGACAACAGTAATTTATTATCTCATAGTTTCCCTGGGTCAGGAATTTGGGAGTGGCTTAGGTGAGTGGTTCTGTCTGGATACCCAGTGAGGTAGCCATCAGGTGTCGACTCCGGCTGCAGTCATCTGAAGGCTTGACTGGGGCCAGGGGATCCACTTCCATGGCTGGCAGGTTGGTGCTGGCTCTTGGCTCTCAGTCACATCCCCTTCCTGTGGCCTCTGGGGGTCTGCTTGTGTGTCCTCACAATACGGCAGCTGGATTCCTCCCGAAAGAGAAGTCCAAGAGACCATGGTGGAAACTGCAAGGCCCTTTACCATCTGGCCTCACCTGGTCACACGCTGTCACTCCTGTCAGATCCTGTCAATCACTCAGAGCAGCCCTGACTCAGTGTGGGAGGGGCCTACTGGGGGTATGAAGACCAGGAGGTGAGGATCGTTGGGGGCCGTCTCGGAGGCTGGGGTATGAGTTTGCTAGAGTGGCTGTAACAAGGCACGGCCGACGGGGTGGCTTCAACCACAGACATTGATCATCTCACAGTTCTGGAGGCTCGAAGTCTGAGACTGAGGGGTCGGCAGGGTTGGTTCCTTCTGAGGGCTGAGAGGGGAGGATCTGCTCCAGGCCTCTCTCCTTGGCTCGTCGATGATCATCCCCTCCCTCTGTCTTGACGTCTTCCCTCCGTACGTGTCTGTGTTCAGATTTCCTCTTATTATAAGGACGCCAGTCATAATGGAGTAGGGCCCACCAAATGGCCTCATTTTAATTTAATTACATCTATAAAGATCCTGTCTCCAAATGCAGTCACCTTCTGAGGTGCTGGGGGTTAGGACTTCAACAGATGGATTTTTGTGGGGACACAATTCAGCCCATAAAGCTGGCGACCGCAGGCGCCCGGCCCTCCCCGTGGAGTCCGGTTGGCTTTCTTTCCTCCTCTTCCCTCTTTCCCTCTGTTCTCTCAGGGCGAGTCCTCCTCCTCAGGATGATTTACCTTAGCCAGGATCTTCCCCCAAATTATCCCTTTTGGGGAGACTGAAGCGGGAAGCATAGAGGAACCTCAGACCTGTCCCCTGGCCCTCTGTCAAGTGCAACAACCTCAGAGCACAGAAGTAGATGTCCACCATATCTCACATGTCAATAGAATACCCCTGTGCCGGGTCCCTTCCTGCCGCCTCTCCAAATTTCTTCTCCAACATTCTCAGCCATGCTCTGTGCCCTGGGAGGCTGTCTGATGGTATCTGCTATGGACTGAACGTATGTGTCCCCCCAAATTCATGTGTGGAAGCCCTAATCCCCAGTGTGATGGTGTCTGGAGGTGGGGCCTTTGGGAGGTGATTCGGTCGGGAGGGTAGAGCCCCCATGAGTGGGATTGGTGCCCTTATAAGAAAGAGATGCACGAGAGAGAGATTTCTCTCTCCGGCGTCCACCTGCAAACCAGGAACCAAATCAGCAGCCACCTTGATCTTGGACTTCTCAGCCTTCACAAGTGGGAGGAATAAATTCCTGTTGTTTAAGCCATACAGTCTGTGGTATTTTTGTTACGGCGGCCCGAACTGACTAAGACAGTATCTGGGGACTCCGTCGCCCCATTGGCTTGGGTCAGTGGTTTCACAGTCCAGAAATCAGAGGAGGAAGGAGAGTGAAGCTGGGGTGTTGATTCTCCCAGATCCAATCCTACTGACCTGGGGACGGTAACAGCTCCCTCGTTGGTTTCCCTGCACCTCACCCACACCTTTGTAAATCATCCAATTAAACGCCTCTCGTGTTGCCCCCTGTCAGTGCTCCATCTCCTGCTGCGACCCTAAGCGATGGCACCATGCCGCCAGGATTTGGGTATTATACAAAAGAAAGTCCCGCATTGGCACTTTGCTCTGACGTGGAAATCGCCAGCTGAATTTCTGGCCAGCTTAGTGGGATGAGGACTCGTTCTCAGTCAAAGTCAAGTCGATTCAGGGAAAATAATGAAGAGATGTGATGTTTCTCGCAGACTTGACTTGGGGGACAAGATCAAACCTGTGGGGCTATCACAGCTCCTGCTCCCACGGCTGGGGAGCTGGGCGCTAGATTCCTGCGTCTTTCCTTGCTCATCCTGGGACGGTGTGTCATTGCTGGGGGAGATTCAGAAGACCCACCCTCACAGCCACCCTCCCGCGTTATCTCTCAGTTCTCCACCCACAGGGGCCCTGCTGGGAGACAGAACAGGCGCTGGGCTGGCTGCCGGGAGCTGAGCACAGTAGCGTGATCTCGTGTATTTAGTTCTATTTCATGAAAATGTTAAGGGGACCCAGCTCTGTTCCTGGTGTTGAAGTGCCTTGCTTGAAAGAGGAAGTTAACTCCTATTATTTAAGCACCAAAACAGAAGTTGGACAGCGGCCACCAGTAAATTGTACGAATTCATTCAACAAATATTTGCTGACTTCCTTACCGGGTTTGCTAGTCCAAAGAGGAAGATGGTGCTCCTCGACAAAGGGGACAAAAAGGAAGCCAGAAAGACAGGAACGACTTACCCTCCAAAGACGGAGCTCTCGTAGCCCAGTGCTCCAGATGGTATCGACCTGTTACAGGTCGAATTGTGTCCCCCAAAAGATATGTTGAAATCCCCAGTACCCCAGAATGTGCTGTTATTTGGAAATAGAGTCTTTAAGACATAATATAAGATGAAGTCGTACTGGAGTAGGGTGGGCCTTACTCCAAAATGACGGTGACACACAGACACGACGGGAGGACACCATGTGATGACAGAGGCAAAAATTGTCTTTGAGCCTCCAGAACTGTGAGAATAATTTTCTATTGTTGTAAGCCACCCAGTGTGTGATATGTTGTTACAGCAGCCCTAGGAAGCTATATACTTATTTATTGGATGGCTTGAACATGCACTGGGCCAGTGCTGAGCTCCTGGCTTGGCACACCAGCAGATTAGAGACGCAAGTTTGCATCTGCCGTGGCCCAGGGCTTGTGTTCCAGGTCAGAGCATGGAACCCAGTGGCCATGAAGACGAGAACACTGGGGCTGAGTCAAGCAGCATGTGACCCGGTGTTTATTCAGCATACACTTCTGAGCATGTGTTAGCAGCGCAAATGGTTCCGTGTGCTAAAGAAGCAGTGAGTGTTGCTTTAAAAAATACAGACTGCGCTCATGTTTGTGACAGCATTGTTCTCAGTAGCCAAAAGGTGGAAGCCACCCCAAGTGTCAATCAACGAATGAATGGACACAGACAATGTGGTCTATCTGTACAATGGGAAATATTCAGCCTTAAAAAGGAAGGAAATTCTGACACATGCGACAATATGGTTGAACCTGGAGGACAGTACATTAAGTGAAATAAGCCAGTCAAAAAAAGACCAAGACTGTATGATTCCTCTCATATGAGGTCCTCAGAGTAGTCAAATCATGGAGACAGAAAGCAGTATGGCAGATGCCAGAGACAGGGGGAGGGGAGAATGGGGAATTGTTATTTAATGGGTACAGAATTTTAGTTTTCCAAGATGAAAAAGTCCTGAAGATTGGTTGCACAACAATGTGAATATACTTAACACAACTGAACTTGATACTTAAAAATGATCAAGGTGGCAAATTTCTAAATAT